ACTTGGTAGAACAGTTTCACTTTAATATATAATGGTTTCCCAGCCTCTTGCTGTTCTTCCTCCACAAAAACACCTCATACAGTCATATAAGTCCATATAAACATATCATGGTACATCACATCCCATTACCAGTAACAATGGATGATGATGGTTCAGCTGCAGGCCTTTCTCTAAAATATGTACTTCTTACTTGTTTACCGACTGTTGCAGGTACTGGGGCAATCCCTGTAACTGCTCCTGAAGTATCGGAGAAGAACCTCTCACTTCTCGCGTTTCAAGAACTCACGTCGGTCATGAACAAAGAGGGGCCCATTTTGCACCCTGGAAGACGGTTCTCTACAAAACGCTGATGGCATGGTTACGTGGATATCAGCCAGTCCTGATTTCGGATGACCATGTTTGCAAAGTGTTTCAAAACGTTAACTCCCTGCGCAGGTGGGGACTCACTCCACGATTTCCTTTTTCTTGCTTGGAACGGTCTACGGAGTCTACATGGCTTGGTCGCTGTGGGGAGGCCGTCTCACGATATTTTGACCGGCGGGAGAAAAGGAAGTGTCCTTTCAGTTCCCTTAAAGACCTTTCTTTTTATAGTCGACTGGACTCCCAGGGAATGAAGCTTCGAAGTTCTTTTCTGGTTCTCGGGCGTTGACAGAACTGAGCATGGTGAAGGGCTTTATAGTCTCTCGCTTCCTTGGCAGGCAGAAGTGCATGTGTGAAGTTTGGTCCTCCACCAAGGACGTTCGGTTTGATCATGGATCTGTCCCTAGGGCTCCTGGCCGGGCCATCCTCAGAAGCGTTCGGAACATGTTCACCGCCGGCGAGGGCTGTTGTTCGGTCGCGTCAAAGTCGGTTATTGGAGGCGAGTTCGCCGGTCTCACGCGTTCGCCCGGTCACCGACCAACGAAGCTCCGGAAGGTCTAGGCCCCAAATCATGGGACTGGGAGAGTTACATTGATCCCCCATGAAAATGACCCGCAACTCTTCCATTTATGGGCTTGTTGATGCTGAAGAAAATTCGATCCATCCCCGAATCGACTCGCTTCTGCTGGGCCACTTGCGAGGGTTCAGCAGCCTCTTGCGATGTGTCTTTCCGGCTGCATGCACCGACCAGGAGCCTGGAGGCCCTGTCCAGGAGAGTTGACAGATCGCACAGTGGTGCTCCTGTTGCTGACTTTCATCTGTTCCACAGTGGGCAGTGTCCATGGCACTGCGTCCGCACGGCCATGGCACGGAATGGACTGAGCAACATGGATTGAAGACATAATAAGCCACGCATTGAAACAGCGTGAATAATGTCTATAACGGTCAAACTGTTCTGCCACCACTTTCGCTCATAAAGCACTCGTGAAGGTGCTAGCTAGCTTTTTGGGGGAGTCTCGCATCTTCAAATGAAAAATATTATCCCACTTCAAGCGTTTCGTGGCCAAAAAGGCACTGAGCCAATATATGATTCAAAAGACGCGTCCATTCATTGCCCATGGTTCAGTCACACAGGCACAGCGTAGTTCAGAATTACAGAATCACCCATGATTGACAGTCAATTGCTGACGCTGGCAATGATCAAGCTGGTGATCGGATCGGTCGACCCTACAGTTGACTCATCTTGACTAGGCTGGCACAGTATCCACATTCGGCCCGGGTCTGGACCCTAAAAAGGTCCCAGTCTATAGGCCGCAGATGTCTGCGGTAAAGCTCCTGATTCCACTCCTGCCAGGCTTCATCCCCAGCATTGGCATAGGCCTTCAGCATGGTGTTCCACACAAAGCGCCTTGACATCGGTACTGGGGAAGGAAGTGAGATTGAACAGCATATGTTTGGAAGCGCCCAGGTGCCCCAGTCCACCCAAAGCGCGCCAGCGCGCCAATCCCAAGTGGTGCTTGATGTCGGTTTTTTGAGCCAGTTCGATCGGAAAGGATCTTGACTTTATACGGCGCATTGATATACGATTCGTGGAAGGGACTTGACTTTTCAATTCTGCACCCAAATGTGGTTTTGATTTGTGGTGATCTATAGGAACTGCAGGTGCTTCCTCTTGGAAGCACTGATGTTTTACGATCACCCTGCATGGATCAACCAAATCCCTCCAGGAGCGGGTCTTGATTCGTGTTGACCGATTTTCACATGCCACCCCTCGTCAACCCTCAAAACTCCCTGTTGGATCTCCAAAACCGAACGCATGGCGTGTCGCAGTTCCCTCTCTCTTCCACGATGGCGGGCCGCAGGTCACAAATGATCACAACACCCCCCGCACTTCCTCCACTTGAATTTGCTTCAAGAACCAGCCCTAGGGATCCAAGTACCTTCTCATGTGATTGGAGACAGAGTTATGTAGGTGCCAGGAGGGTCCAGTCGTACCTTCTGAGGTTCGGTACTTGGACCCTCCAAACCGGGACAACATCAAACATGTGATTCTTCCCCAGCCTCTCCAGCCGGAGTTCGTTCTCGGACTCCCCCGCTCCACCGAGGGGCGGAAGCTGCCCAGGTGAAGCTGCGGCCTTCAGCAGCTGGAAGAGCTCCCAGGCCGGCGCCACAGCGCCTTGTGCGGCAAAGGCATTGAGCTCCTGACACCAAGCTGGAGGACTTGGATTTTGCCAGGAAGCTTAGAAAAATATCACCAGGTTAGGGGGTTCCCCAAATCGGAAACATACACAAAGAACCTTAAGCAAAACCAGGAGGAGCCATGGTGAGTAGGTGGGCCCTACTTTCCAGTCATGTGGGTCCATGTGGAACCATTTCGGAGGTAGATAGGAAAGAAGCCACCTGTTTCTTTTGCATCCTGCGGTGGTTTCAAGCCTCTAAATACAGAACCCTCCGTTCAGGGTGTCTATAAAGAGCCCTTAGAGGTGATTCGGGGTGTCCCAAAACCATCTGTTGGAGGGTCCTAGTATAGAATATATGCCATTTGCACAGCACGCAAACTGATGCATCACGAACGGTAGAGTAGAGGCCCAAGATCTCCCCTATGTGGACGTGAAAGTATTCACTCCCACTCTTGTTCCCAAGCCCGCACCAGCTGGGATGCAACAAACATATATAGCCAAAAATACCAGTGGATGACTTCATCGTGGATGACTCGTGGTGCACGGTATTAAGGGGCACATCTCGGCACAACCGCCACGGTGAACGAGCTGCAAATGTCGCAATCCCCAGGGCTCCAAGTACTTCCTCCGAAGGTATGACTGGACCCTCCTGGCGCCCACCCCAGTCCCACCTTCTCAGAAGGTACGACTGGAGCCCTACGGATGATGGAACATGTTGGGGAACTTGGTAGGACTAATTCACAAAAATGTCTGAATATTCACATCAGTTGGGTCTATCCCAATACCTGTAAAAGTGGATGATGATGGTTAGGTTGCAGGCCTTGTTCCAAAATAGTTATAATTCTTTACTGACGGTTACATGTAAGAACGGATTTTTACCCAACACATAAGATTCACAATACATTCACCCTAGGCTTCCAACCACCAATAGGCTTTACCGAATCAACTATAAGGATTTTCCCATTTTGGGTCTTGGAAGTCTAGGGTTCATGTGTGAGTCGACTCAGTCACGTTGAGTCAGGTCCCTCGTGCGTCTTCCGGAGCCAGGGTGGTGTACAACGAGTCCCCGGGATCCGCGGACGAGTCCGCTGGGGCCAGTCAAGCCCTAGGGATCCACTGCCGCCTTCTCAGGTTCGGTACGGACCCTCCTGGCGCCTACAAGCCCAGTGTCTCCGATCACCTGCTGAGAAGGTACTTGGATCCACTCTTGGATCCCTAGGGAAGTTTGCTTTTCCCCAAACTTTTGGTAAACTAGCTAGCTGGCCGCCACGACTCGGTGGCCCCAGGAAGACCTTACTCTTCGTCGAAGAAGGGCGGGCGACCGGTCTGCTAACAGGTCAGAATCACCCATTCTTCGACGGCTCCATACCCCAAACACGACCCATGGGACTGCCATATATGCCAACATTGGGGTGGTGCCAGAGGGGTCAATGGGGCGGCATATTTATGTGGCAGTCCCATTGCGAGTCAGACGGTGACGTCCCAACAAATAGGGTCACTCTCCTTCAGCTTGGCTCCATGGCCTGGCCAAGTGTTCCACACATCTGCTTCATGGAGAAAAGGCTGATCTAGAAGACTTTTGAAAGGATTCTCCGAACGTCCCACCAAGTCCCACCACGTGTTGGAACTTCTTTTCCGGCGCAGAATGACACCACCGGCCTCTCGTGTCCACTGGACAGGCGGACGCGCGCCCCAAGGATTGCGGTCACTTCTTCTGCCCCCGGCAACGCGCCTCTCCCCTTCATCTCGCCAGCGTGACGGTTCCATGAGCGGTTCGGCGGAGGTTTCGACCACGAGAGCCAGGTGTCTTTCAGCGGGTTCTGCTGTTGAGGGTGCTGTCAATGCTGCAAGGTTTCCACGCGAGTCGAGTCCATGTGCCATACAGGTGATACAAGTGGCAGAGTGATGCAGCGCCATGGAAATCATCCGTGCAAATTCATAACGTCCATGACTTGCTTCGGTGTTGTTAGCTCAGGATTCAGGATATGCTGAGAATAGTGCAGTGCATAATATGCTAGCTACTGCGCCTCAAGCCACACAAACGATGAGGGACTTGTCTTGCAGCCCATCGAAACCGGCGGTTTTGTCATGTTTGGGCCCCAGCAGCTCCCAAAACGCTCGCAGGTTTGCTTTGGTTCGGCTGGTGTTGGACGCGTTACGAGCACCAACCCAAGCTGAAAAACAGAACTCGTAAAGTCTCATGTAGTTAGTTTTTGCGCCCTTGTTGGGCCATCTCCAACACGGAGATCACCCCCTCACAAAACAAACATAACATGTGGCCTGGAGGGTGAAATTGTGCAAAAACATGGTGAGCAGCTTGATGTACAGCAGCACCAAGCACGCAGACCCCCGGATGGCAAACGGCTCTTTGCTCTGCCCATGCGCCTCTTTTTGGCCTCTTTTCGAGTTGGCACGATCTCCCGTGCATCAATTCAGGGCGCCGTCTCGGCGGTGGGCGACTCAGCAATGTGAGAAGGTGATGCCACAGGAAGACATGATGATGATCAGAATCACCAGAATCTGGGCGGTGGGATGGAAGACACGTTTTAGGGCGCAACGGAAAACCTCCAAATCAAGCGGAGTCTCCAAAGGACTGTGAAGAGGGCTGCTTCCAGACCACAAAAAGGTTTCCCCTCAGGATGAGAACCCTAGAGTTCCCTGGCTTTGCGGTGACCTTTTATGAATTTGGGCACAGTGACCATGACTGACTCCATCTGACCCACCCGCCCCCCCCCAAAAAAAAGAACGAACGAACACCCTAGACTTCCAAAACCATTAAAACAAGATTAGTTGAGCTGGTTTTTGTAGCATAAACTAATGTAAAATCCTTAGTTGAGTAAAGCCTATTAAATTAATGATTGTTGGAAGCCTAGGGAACACACATAATTAAAATTCAAATGAAGTTAGGATCGCTGGCCCAAGTTCTCCCATTTGTTCAGGGCAAGTCGCCACGAGCCCCGCGATAATGGCCATCTTCTTGACCTCTGTGCACGGGTGCTTTGGCCCGACCGTGCGCAAACATGGGGCTTGGGCTTGGGAACAATGGGGGGGTTATGCCACTTGTAAGTATTCATAATCATTCTGACTATGCCACATTACTCTTGTACACATACTGCGTTGCATGCTGCACTGCATACTGCACGACTTTGTGGTTGATGTGAGGTGTATATGCAAAGATACAGTCCAATCATTCAAAACAAAAACATGATGACTAATGCAGTATTTAAAAAACACACACACAAAGAAAACATATATATATATACATATGCACCTTGAACTTCCTTGATCTTTACCTCCGAACACCGAACACCCCCTTACTTTTTGTTGCGCCCACACGTCTCGACCGAGTCCGCGGCGTTGCCCCACCACACCAAGCGCCGCAGCTGTTCCGCATCACGCCGGAAGGAGGAGGCGCTCTCCTTTTCGTCGCCGATGAACCACCGGAGCCGGGCGACCCGGGCGACCCAGGCGCCCACGTTCCCCAGTGACGAACAGGGGATGTTCTCTCTGTGAATGATCTGTGAAGAAAACACACCAAAGTCTCATCTTCATGTCATGATGTCATGATCTGTGTGGAGTCACTTATTGTTTTATGTGTCTGCAAGTCAGTGGCACAAATGATCCACTGACGGATCAACACGTCTACGGATTTTCTCCAAAATCGATGTCAGCAACAACGGCTCTTGCAACGAACCGAAACCATGGATCGAATATGATCGAACTAGACCTTTGTGGACACATGTGGGCACTATGATCTTCTGGGTCAGGGGTAGTAGTCTGTGAAAGTTCACTTGTTCATCTTTATCGGGTGGTGGAAGGCTTCAAAGATCTCAAATATCAAGTTTCAGGCATAGTAGAGACACAGGGGCTCCGACCATATCCTCCGAAGGTAGGGACCCCAACCGCCCCTACCCCAACCACCTTCGAAACATAACTAGTTGGAGCTCTTGGACACCCTGGCTGGTGGAGCCTCTGAAAATGCCTCGCACTCTACCAAGAATGAAAGGTCCAAATAGATAATCACTCCCTGGACCAGGACCTTCCAACAGGTCACCACCTGCGACTTGACTAAGTCAGTCTACCAAAAGCCTCTGGTGCCGGGAGTAATCATTTTTTTGGGTAGACTCTTGATTAATAACCCCCCCCCTTTGAAGAGGATGTTCCATTCCAATGGGAGGGTGTATGGTCCTCAAGAGTCTACACCAGTAGCTTGGAGGCCATGCCGGACCAGGGCCCACCCGTCCCGGCCCTGAAAGAAAGAACTAAGTCCTTAAAGGAAAGGGATCATAAGTCACAAGTCTACTTGATTTGGGGTGTGGCTATGATATATAGTGTGGTGTTGCAAACTACTTAGTGTAATGGATGATCAGTTCTCTACCTGGAACAAAAACAGAACCAAGTCTCGGAAAGGACCTGGCTGCGACTCACCTGGGACGGGGGTCCGGTGACTCCCATGGAGGGAGGGGCAGGATGTGAAGCCGAGGATGAAAGATCCGGTTTCTGAACGTGTCAGTCTTTTGGGAGGCTACTTGAGTCATTAGAGGTGGTTCAATTATGTTCAATTGAATATATCTGAATCTACAGCAACTGGATCATCATGTTTCCGAGTGTCCACCTGCGAAGATCGAGTCAAAATTGAAAATCACTCAAACATAGTTGTCTTGAATATGTGAATCATCTAGCATAATATATGTTGCTTTAAGTCTTTGCAAACTTCCAAACATTTCCCCGCTGCGAATGATGCGCAAAGACTGTCCAAGCTGCCAAAAGCTCGATCTTCTCCTGTCTCTCGAGGATCTTGTCGATGCTTTCCATCAAATGGTCATTGATATGTTGAACCTGCCAAAGTACCATTCACCGATGTATATGCTCTTCATCGAAGCATACGACACCCCACTTGTGGGCAAGTAGTTATCCCACTCTCCCGGCGCAGCCTTGAACATCCACAAGGCCTACTGTATGTTCAGTAGCACTTAGGGCCTCGGGGTACATGCCCACTACCAGTAACAGTGGATTATGATGGTTATAGTAAAGGCCCCTAAAAAAAGAGTGACAATTAGGATTGATTATGTACCGACTGTCACAGGCAATGCCACAGACCCAAAGTAGCACCTCAATGCGAGGGGGGATGGAGGTGGACCTGGGAGAACACATCGCATTTGGGGGACATTCTGCGGAAGCGCCTGGCTTTATGTCATACTAAACAAACTACACTTGACATGGGGTACTTTGCACGATGCTTGGTATGACCACTAAGAGAACATTAAAACATAACAATAGGAACAAATACCTGTATGTATAGAAGCTAGTGTTGTGTGTGTGTGAGTTTTCCTTGCTGCCAAGTCTCTAGTCTAGTCTCTAATTATCAAATCGAAGAGTTCAGTGACATCATGACATCAACACAAAAACCAACGACATCATCCCACTTCTAACCTAAGATCTGACCCAAGTTCTGGCACCCATCCACTTTACAGTGCAGAGTTCAGAAACATCACTTCCGGCACACCTTGGCCATCATGGAGGCCACTCGGTCCACATCGGGCGAGTTGTACCGCTCCAGGAGAAACCTCGGGCGGGTTGTGCCCCACGGTGATCTGCAAGCGGGAGCGGGGTGGATGGTCAGTTGAAAGGCTCCGGCGGAATGTGGATGCGAAGCAATGAACCTAACCCCTGTACCAGAACGGTTGTTGTTTTTTATGTGTTATTTCAATACATCCCCCTATGAATAATTCATCGAATCATACATTTATAATCGAATAATGGTGAAGCACATTCTTGGTCGTCGACTGGAACAACACCAAACAACGGATTTGATGGCAAAGAATGGGGACAATTCCGATCGACACGCTTCGATGAAACGCACCCGCTCTGACGCGGGCGGCGTTTGCGGAGCAGGCCCGCCACGACCCGCTGCTGCCGGAACCTCAATAGCCCCCCCGAAAGCCTGCTCTCTCTATATATGCCTGCATACCCTACAGGTCAAATTGACCTCATTTCACCCGGAGTTGGTCATGCAAAACCACGGTGTTCAGGAGGTTTGGAACGCTTCACGCGGTCAGACTGGACATGGTTCACGCGGGAAAACACGCGGTTGATCGCCATCGAAGGCTCCCCATCCGATGTCATCCGGACAACCCGGCCCCCTGGGCCACCCCAAACATGTAGGGTGGGCCAGTATGTGGGCCAGGAGGGGAACCGCAAAGGAATTCAGCTGAAGAGGGGCTGTAACTCTTCCCTGAAATCGCTCTGCATTCCATAGGCGATGGCACTCTCCACCTGCTCCTGGCCGCAGGGAGTGATGTTCATCGAGGCAAGCGGCAAGAACTTCGGTACCCCCCCTGATGTGAAAAGGACAAAGGGGGGGTGTAAAAAGCACAACGGATCACCTTTGACCCCTGTAGAAGTCCCAAAGACCCAGTAGAACCATGTAAAACCCTGATTGTTTGCCTCCAAGCAAGTAATTAGTATTAAATGTAATCAGTTTTTAGTGGTTAACGTGTGACCAACTCCCAGTAAAAAGAGCTCATTGACTTATGATGTTTCGGAGTAGGTGGCACCAGGGCACCCCAGTGATGCTCGGTTTAGTGGAATACCATCTTGTCACGGGTGCCGATTCCGTGAGATCCAGCCGATGGAGTCATCGGGGGCCAGACCAAGTCGGTCTGTTCTTCGGTTCTTCGGTCCGTTCGGCGTCTGTTTTGGGGCCCAACCCGTGGGGAAGATGCGATGGGAAGCGATGGTTAGGGCCGTTCCCTCTCTCCTTGCTGTACTTCTGCATGAAGGCCTCCTGTACCGCCTGGCCATCGTTGTCTCGCATCAATCCACCAAAAGGCTTGGCATGGGCAACCTCCTGATGAGGGTAGGCCGTGATGGGCCGTGTAAGATCCTTATGTCTTAAGTTTTAGGCCGTCTAACACTTAATGTCACAGCCATCTGGCCATCCCGTTTTGGAAAGGCCGCGTTCAACTGGACGGAGTGACACGACACCGCGCGCATGGCTGATGACACACTGCGCGCATGACACGCCTGTAGAAAGCCGAAAGGGATCCGACGTCCCAAGAGCTTTTCAGCCATGCACACGAACCACAAGTCGGCTGTCTGGTCCACGATGTAGTGGAAAGCATATTCGCCGTAGATATAGCCTCGGACCCGGAACCGGTGCCGGTGCTCCAGGGCGGTCCGGTCTCAAGTGCAATAATGTCTCCACATGTTGCATGCTAAGATAAACAGGGGGTGGGCAAGAGTGTCCCAAGCAAGCGAAGGGTTCAACATGCTTTCACAAACTCTTCTCTATGCGTGTCATCCTTGAGTGGGGCGCACGCTCTAATCGCTGCAGTGTATGTATATATATACATATATGCGTGTTTCTGATGTTTCCTACTTTCCTTGACATACTTTACAACTAGTGTGCATGTTCCCACTTGTCTTCACTATCGTGCGCTTCTTCAATATTCTCTACCTGTTCGTATTGTTCCTTGACCATGTCCTACATGTGCTCTACTTTCTCCACCTTGCCTAATTCATACATAACTACGGTTCTCCACGTGGTTGAACATGTATCCTGGATCATGCACTCTGCACTTCCACCCAGTTCTTTGTTGACTCGTCTCTGCTCTGTCCTCTTTTAGTCTGCCCCTCTGCCCTGTTTTCGGTCAAAGTTATCCTATACAGACTCAGAATCTCACAGTTTTCGGTCGTCACGGGGAGACACGGAAAGCCTCGCTTCGCCGCGAAGCGTCCGACGGAAAGCTAATACATGCTAATACGAAGAGCCCGCATTGGCACATTCTAGTGGGCTCGAGTCTAGCAATGTAGCAACATTCTGCAGGGTGCAAAGGTGCCAAATGTGCGGGCATGATGGCCGCACAGGCATTTTGCAAGAGTTCTGGCCATGCATGACTTTAATGAATCGTTTCAAGAAGCTCTTCCATTCTGCAGAACTCTCGAGCTTTTGCAGAATCTGCATCGTTGCCTGCTGGAAGTTCCCAGCCAAAGCAGTGTACTCTGCGAGAACAACCTGAGTTGTGGCATTTCGGAAAGGCCTCAACTAGCATCTTTCATCTAGAACCACTAGCATCTCAGCATCTGCCATCTACCAGGACCTTCCAAGCCCGGTGGTTTTTGGACACCTTCTAAACCTCTAAGAGGCTATTTACAGACACCTCTTGGTGTCGGTCCTGGTAGAGGCTTCTTTCCTTTCTAGATCCAGCCCCTCCCGCAGACCCCTTCGAGAGGTGCTAGACCGAAGCTAAGCCGTGGTGTCAGAGTAGCTGGCACAATCCCCCAAAGGTGGTGTCAGAGTAGCTGGACTCCCAGCTCAAAAGGATCTTTGGGTACCAGTGCCACCTACTCTGAAACCACTGTAAGTGAATCTTTGATCCATTGATCCTCTTTCACTGCCCTTCAACTCGGAACTGAACATGCTATGGAACCTGGACCCATGGTGTTGCCAGGGCCCCCCTTCGGCGCTTACATTTGACCCGCGACACCCCCAACGGGGAAGTCTTCACCCGATGCCAGTCATTGAATGACCGAGACCACCTCAACCTGATAAAGGTGATGATGATGGGTGATGGATGATGGAGGATAGGATTCTGTTGAACACTGATGCCTGTGAGAAGGGTACCCTTTGAAAGCTTCAAAACGTTAAGATGTTGATAGAGTTTTAACAAGGGAAAATGAAAGAATCTTGCTAGATATAGATGTTTAGGGATTATGGAACAACCATTGCTGGGGAGAACGTTGGCAGCTTAGATTGCAGCATTAAACGGCATACTAATGAATTATGTTGTTCTTTCTAGGGGCAAATGGGCTTGATTGAAAGGGGGAGGTTTCTGCCAAGAAACACAGATTATTAGGGTGATGGAAGTGTGGAATTTAAGTGTTTGATTAGTTTAGTATTGGGGGCTCGAGTTGGGCTTGATTAATAGTAGGAGGTTACTTAATCCTATGTTGACATTGGATGGATGGATGGATGGATGGATGGATAGATTATATAGATAGATTAGATAGATAAAATAGATTAGATGGATAACATAGATAAGATAAAATAGACAGAAAGAAATCAAGAAATACAAATAGGTAAATAAATAGGTAGATAGATGGAACCCCTGGCGATATATATATATATATAACTATGTATATATAGAGAGGGATAAACTCCCTGGTAATAGCAGAGTTATCTCGATAGAAATAGAGAATAGATCTGCCCTGCTGCATTTCCGCAAAGGAAACATGTTATTTCCGCGGCGAATCCTCGTGAATCCACCCGAGGCCTTCAGGGGTGGCAACGAGGGCGGCCTGGGTGTGTATTTCAATATAGGAGGACCCCCAACCGGTGGTTTTTTTTTTTTTTTCCGTCATCCTATTCTGCCCAATGCAGATCAAAACGATGTGGGCGTTGACAAACGACCAACTGGACCAGAAACATGATCCACCATGCTCCACCGATCACCCTTTGAAACTAAATGACTCAACTCCAATAGTGACGTATCTCGAGCTTCAAGAAAGAGCATTTAAGGCACGGTGCACTCTGAAAGATCGAGCCTACAAGATCTACAAGCTAATTAAAAAGACCCGAGGGCCTTGATGCACTACCGGACCCCTTTGCCAATTAGGTGCTCGCATTTACCACCGCAAGCAATCAGGACCATAGTGACCATAGGCGTTTGTCTTAACAACCCTGTGGCATGCAAAGCAATTGTTGTAGCTTCACTCTGGCATGCGGACCACATGAATAACTTTGTACCAATGCGGCATTGATGGTTCACACAAATCAACGTTTTATGGGATACCATGACCCCTGTGATGTTATAGAGGATATATCCACCTATATCACAAATCCATTTAACGAAAGTAAACACTTTCAACTCCCCCAGTACCCACCGGTACTAATACATAGAAGGCGGGTTTTGGGCCACCCCAAGCAATAATGGTGTTGGGATGGTTTTGGTCTATGTTCTTTAGGAACTTTAGGAGGTCTCCCTATTCTCCAGGAACAGTTCTTTAGGAGGTCTTCTTCCACAGTTCTTTAGGAGGTCCCTCGGAGATTCCCAAACACTCCATGGGACTGCGGACGTCCCGCCAATGGGTAGACTGGTCTATTTCTTTTTGTTGAGACTGCTGCGATGGGTGGCTGCAGACTTACGTCGTTGGCGAGCGCAAGAGCAAAAAGAGGGTGTTTGGGAGGTCTCCTTTTCACACCCACATCGATGGGGTGACCCAAATGGCACTCTGAGTGGCTTTTTGGCCTCGAATGACCAACGCATAAATGATCTGCGACCTCTCGCGCTCCATGGCTCCTCCTTTGATGCAAAACGTTGATGTGCGTCTGAGACCTCCTCCCACTGATCATCACTGATCCACTGAGCGAATCACCCGGAAATGTCTATCGCCGGTGCTGCCAAAGGAAATGGTCTTCTCGCAGGTTCCATGTGGCGATGTTCAATCCAAAGGCTCAACGATCTGCAGCTTCGGAAGGCATGGCTTTGGATGTGTGCAGGTTTTTTTGAGGTCACAGTTGATCAACAAAAAGCACCAGAAAGCATAAGTAAGCACTGCAGAAAGGAAACAGCCCCACAAAATCTCTCAACGCCATGCTGGACCTGGGAATGACCTCTACAACATCTGTATCTTCACATACCTAGCACTGACACAGTCCCAAATTGCCCTGGAGGTCTGGAGAGATGTGGTAGACCGTGACGGGAGTCGGGTAGTCTATTGCCGCCAGGACGGTCCGGGATGATCCAAACCGCCAAGGTGGCCCCCTTCGTGGCCCAGTCCGATGGAGTCCGTCGAGTTCCGTAGGATCCGTGGTGTTCGGTCTTCGGTCTCCTGTAGAACCTGTAGAACTCCTTAGGGTTGGAACCACAGGATGCCCACACCTTTCTCCCATCTCCAACGCGCCCATCTGGGACCATGTGCTTCTTTTGGGCTCCCAAACAGGCCAAAGCAGCGCTGTCGCGCTGCTTAAGGTGAACCAGAAGGCTGGTCCAACGGACTCAGGTCCTTCCCATCGGCCGCATGGCAATCGGACGCGTCGGAACAGTTGAGCAGATTCACTCTGGACGGATGGGTCTGGACGGATGGGTCTGGACCTGCAATCAAAGCTGATGCCAATTCGATTTCAAAGGAAGTACAAGCATCGTACTAGCAACATGTCCTAATTCGGAACATCTGAAGATGTGGTACAAGTAGTTGTCATGGAAATCCCTCGCCCCTATAACATGCCGGAGCCCGAATCGCTACCGAATCGCCACTCAGCAGACGACGCCGCTCGAGACGCCATCGCCGTCGCCTTGGTCGGACCAGTTCACCTGGAAACACCTGGCAACGCCGGCGGTGTCGGAGATGAGTGCAAGAACCAACTATTTTACAGAGCCATCATTGATGTCAACAAACATATAACAACCTATAACATATTTTAACATCCTTTAACATAGTTGGCATCTGAACCTCAAGTGCACCAAATGGCTAGCGGCTAGATGGCACAACACTCACAAAATGGCAGCAACCGCACCTCCGCATCAAGGCCTTCATCAGGAATGATCCCAAGCTGACATGGATACAGCAGCCTACACCTGCACGGTTGCCGCAATCTGTGCAAAAGCGTGTCATGGCTACATGGCACAACACTCAAGTGCACAAGATGGCAGCAACCGCACCTCCGCATCAATGCCTGCCATAGCAAATGATCCACAAAAAGGCTTGGCAAAATGTTGAGCATAAAGCCTGTGCCTACAACACTCAAGTGCACAAGATGGCAGCAACCGCACCTCCGCATCAAAGCCTTCCATCACAAATGATTCCAAGCTCACATGGGTACAGCCACCGGACTGAAAGATAGTCCAAAGACTTCGGGGCACCCGAAAAAGAGGTGATGCGGAATGGAACCACCCCAGGGCCCTGGTATACTATTCCCTATAATGCCCAAACACGACCAATGGGACTGCCATATATGCCGATCAGTTGGGGTGGTGCCAGGGGGGCCAATGGGGCGGCAGAACTATGGCAGTCCCACTAGTCCTGTTTGGGATTAGTGGTAATGGTGGATGATGGTGGATGACTTCAGAGTCCAATTCCGGGAGTGTCTACTGGGAAGCTCAACCGTCGATGCCGCTCCACCGAAGCTCCGCCGAGCTTGGCCGACCTGGAAGCTCGTTGGTGCGTCGTCTCTCAGAGATCCTTTGACCTCTCAGACCGTTGGTCTGGCGTGACCGAAATGTGGCGGACGGTGGCCGTCCAAAGCTGACAACCGCGAGTCAGGCCCCAGTCCCAATGTGGGTCACTGACTTGGGGATGGTCAAGTCTACCAAAGAGCTGCAATCTTGAAAGGCGGCTTGCCAAATGTGCATCAC